GGGGGGGGGGGTCAAAAGTTAAATTGGAGTGTAGGGTAGGGGGGTTAGAAGCTAATTGCTTAAATATGGAGAGGGGGGGTCATAAGTCAATTGGGGATTTTGTTCACCATGAAATTGAAAAGATGCATATAAATGTACTGTTTAAAATAAACATTCATTGTTATATTTTTACTGTATAAAGGACACAACTTGCCACAGGTGCAACCTCAAAACCATATGTGTTGAAATAATGTATAAACTGAGTATGCTTTGTAATAAGAACTGCGTACAAAAAACAATAACTAAAAACAGTACAAGTCACAACTTTCTATACTATACTGTGGTAAAGTTATGCCACATTGATTGACTGTATACAGTATAAGACAACTGACTATGTCATGTCTTTTTTGTTTTKCTTTGTAATAATTCTTCTAGCTTTATGTTCACGATATTTAGTGCTATGTCAAGGGTAAAAACAGAAGCTCCTTGGCTTCCCCAACAAACAATTTCGAAGAAAGAAGATCCCTCAGGGGCAGGATTTGTCATTTTGAGATGTAAATATTAGTAGAGTGTCCTCATCAATATTGTCAAGTTGTCGGATGCCATATATCTCAGGGCTGTATTCTTTTACTAAAGGATTTCCTCCTAAGGAATTAAATATAACACATGCCTTTTTCTTCCTATGTTCTGTTGTCGAGAGGCATTGGTGGTGATGTAGGGGGGGGGGGGGGGGGGGGGGGGGGGGGGGGGGGGGGGGGTTGATTTCAAAAGGGGGAGAGGTGAGAAGTTAATTTACGTTTAATTTAGCACAGGGGGGTTTAGCTTCAATTTAAGCCCAATTTGGAGGATTTTAGAACCCCCCTCTCCCGATAATTATTGCACAGTCCCTAATTATATAACGCAATTGCAATTTGTGGCTTCAGCCAAAAAGGAAACATCTGGAGAAAATCTTTATTTCAACACGCTTGGGGGAAGAGGGGGAGGGCGGGGGCTAGTAAACATTCATAAATAGTCGTTGCCCATTGCGCGCCTTTCACTCAGTACGAAACTCAGACTCGTACCCAGTCGCTTCTCTTGTTTATTGATCTCACGCTGTGGTTGCTGGGAGGGATTTAGTGAGTTCCCGGTGCATCAAGGGAAGGACGAAAGAGAAAAGCGAAGCGTCACTTTTTCTCTCTCCTTCACAAAAGCCACCCTGCGCATTAAAAAAGTGTGAAAAAGCGTGAGTGACGACTGGGTACGAGTCATGGGGGGGGGGCGGACTCCGGGAAAAAAGGACCGGGGATGCTCGTCGCATCTCTTAGGAGTAAAAATTCGCGATTTGGTATCTTTTAGGGTGTTAAATGCGAATCTTTGAAAATCAGCATTTTCTGGTCGGAAAAGGAGAGAAGCGCGCTTTTTATATAAAATTTTATTTTATTTGTTGTGGTATCTCTTAGGGGTTGAAAATCATTCGGCCACGCCCTTTTTTAAAGACTTCCGGTATCTTTTAGGGGTGTTTTTGAAAATTTCCGAACAGCATCCCCGGTACTTTATTTACCGGTGTCCCCTCCCCCCCCCCCCCCCCCCCCCCCGGGTCAAATAGGAACTACCCGTGTCAAAATATTAAAGAAGAATTGGCCGCCCACAAAAGTTAAAATTTCCACTTATGACCCTCTATCTCCCCTTTGAAAACCAAATCGGATCGTATCTTAGTATCCGTTTTACATAAACACAGGAAGAACATTTTGGTAAAATTTGGGTTTCCTGTGTCCAAATGATGTTGATCAGTCCCTCCCCTTCCCCCCAGAGTATCACATTTGTCATCCCAAGTCCCACATGGAAAGAAGAAGTCGAACGTTTGCACAACGTATGCGCGAAGTGACTGAGAAAAAAACCTCCAAAACATGTGAATTCCTTAACAAATTTCAATATAACGAGCAGAATGTGCGATGACTATGATACAGACTTTGATTCGGACGAAGAAGGGTTTGAAAGAGAGAATTTGATTGATGATATTCAGAAAATACGCCTTGCGCTCGCTGATAGTGACGTCGAAGAAGACGAAGATGAATATGAAGAAGAAGAAGAGGAAGATAACATTAACTTTATAGGTACGTAACTACATATACCCTTTGCCTTTAACAATATAAGGCTGTTTTATATATTTTAGTATGCAAAACACTTCTTATGTGCAAAAAAGCTTCAAAGTGCATTGCTATTTCAGGTGCAGAGATTGAGCGACTGACAAAGCTTCTTGTTGTTGTTTCTGTTTTAGAGACGAGTTCCTTCAAACTTCATCGCTCAGACCTCACTACTAACGATACACAGGTAATATGGAAGGGTTATTTGCTGTTTTGGTATTTAAAAGATATACATTATTTTGAGTTTTATCGTATCCCACACGAAGAAAATGAGTCCGTATCTTATTATTAAGCTTGATTACTTTTAAGGAGGCAGTGAACCTTGAAGCTGTCGGTATTCACAGCCACCATTTTGGTTGAATGAACACTTTCACACCTTCCTGGTTGAACAAATATTTTTTAATTAGTCTTTCTTTTATTATCAGCCAACATGGAGACCATGTCTTTTGTTATTTCATTTTCTTAGGAATTATAAATTTTCTAACCAACTAAAGATGCTGGAACTTCAGTTTTGTCTTTTTATTCAGCATAAACCTATAGACAGACAACAGACAGACATATTTTATTTGGCATTTTGTACATAGTTGCACATCAACTTAGTTCCAAATATAGTTCGAGTATATATACGTATGTTTATGTATGCACATAATATCTATATTCACATATTCCACACATACACATCATACGTACATATATATTCTGTATATATAAATGTTCATATAATTATTTCGATAAAATGCGTTACTAATCCTAATCATCTTTAT